ATAAGCTTTCCTTCAAAGATAATCTGACAGAAAAAGACGGGCTTCATCATTTTGATGTTCTTTACAAAAAAGATTAACACACCTTTTTGCAACACCAGGATTATTATTGTTACTAGAAGACATTCCAAGACGACTTGAAGAACAAATACAACAAAAGAATAAGAATAAGTTTTATAATGTGATGCAAGAAACACAAGGTTGCTTCACATCAAACTTGATTAGTGGAACCTTTACATTTCTGTGCATTTAAAACTCCACCATTTAGTCAATAATATAGTAAGTATGGTAAATAGTATTTGCCTCAAAAATATGACAGCTTTAAAAACTTTCCCAAACTTCTATTTTTTCAGACGCCAATCTTTCAAACTCAATATTTAACAATGTTTAATGAAATCCTCAATGTGACAATGTCTGACTGCAGCACATAAAAGATGATTCCATTTATCTAGATCTTTTCTGACAATGCTTTTTAAAACATTATACCTTTTGGAAATAAAAACGGCCGATGGTTGTTTGTAAAAATGTTACTATGTTATGGTTCTGGATTCCTGTGTCACATTTTTTACCTTAAAAAAGGAAATTCTTTCTCTCAAATAATTCCACTATCAACTATTTCATGATAGTATTTCATATCTCACGTAGGATGAGATCAAAAGTTTAGTTGAGTTCAAAGAATACTATGAGTATAATATGCTTTTCTGTCAGTGATAAAAAGACAAGAAATATGTTGTTTTACAAAATGCTTTTTATTCAAAAGGTTTTACTACATTTTACCGTTTGCAAAGCGGATACAACACCTCTACCTAACTGTCAACAACATGTACTACAAGCGTGGAGACACATGTTCTAACATGTAACGCTCGTGATGAATAAACAGCACAAAGAGGGAAGAAGCAGATGTTAAATGGTCCTTCTGCTCCTCTACTGTTGTTCAGTGAGGCACTCAGACTTCTTGATGTTTTTCTCTGCAGTCTGGGAGCCCAAAGACACTTTACATGTGTAAACCTTATCCATGTTCCAGTCTGACGCCTGGATGGCCAGATAGCTGCTGATGTGGAACGTCTGATCAGGTTGCTTAACAGCGGTGCTGGTAGAGATCCCAGTGACCACTGGACTCCCTCCAGACATCCAGGTCACATCTGCAAAAGGCCCAGACTGACTGGACAGACAGACCAAAGAGGCTTTGTTGGACTGCAGCTCAGCACTGGACGGAGGAAAGACAGTGAGGACGGGAGGACGGAGGCTGGAGCCTGAAACACACAAAAGGCATTCTTTAAATGAAGGGAAGTGGAGCTATTGATGCAAATCATGGCGGCAAAAGGAATCTGTTAGTAAGTTGAGGAGAAAGACAAAAAAACATTTAGAAACCATCAGAGCAGAGTTCAAAAACAAAGTCTATCATTAACAAACTAGATAATACAACGAGATGTTCTATGTTGTTCATGTTAAATACTGTTATATTTGTACTTAGTCTTATATGTATCTTAATCTCTTTTGTTGTTAGAATACAGTGAAACTGAACCGACCTCGTTTTATTTATCTTACTATCAAAGCAAAACTACATTTTTTAAATTCCGCAATTGTGGTGTTAAAACCAAAGAATAAAGGTAAGATAAAGACGTTCCCTTCATTTTAAAAGTAGTTAATCATCACAAGCTCTGTAATTTTTATATTCATACTTTAAGTGTGAAGTTGCACTACAAAAATTGTTTTTTGATGTTAGACTTTAAAATGATCAGCAGAAACAAATATAGTGAAATTGGTTGGAACATTTCACCACAAACATTTTCAGCCAAAAAAACAGCTTGGTATCAATGTAGATGAACAAAATTCTAACAAGTTAAATATCTTTAAAAAGTAAAAAACAAATAAAATCATCAAATATTACATAAATATCTGTCAAAATGAAGTAGAAACAAACAAATCACTTACGTTTTAAGAAGAGATTTAAAGTACTTACTTGTCACAATCAGCTTGGTTCCTTGTCCGAATACCACAGTGATTCAGTTGGTACACATGGCTGTACAAAAACCTCTCGACTCGCTCTGATGACGGAGTGGAACTGAAAGATCCTGTTGAGACCAACTTTCATTGTCAACATCTCACTAACTTCATCAGTTTGATTTGTCCCGAATCAATTGGTTCTTCAAGGAATTGATTTGTGGCCCTCATGTTTGGAGCAGTTGCCCTTATTAGATGTGTCTGATTCTGCTGAAAATCAATAAATCTTCAGTAGGTCTCTGATGGAGGTTTTGGTCACAGTGTGACCACTGTGAACAGCTTCCTAGCAGAG